TTGTTGTTGGGGGCAATATGCTGACTCTGTAAACCGCTTAGAGAGGGCTGAAAGCCCTACGAAGCGGTATATAAGTCTAACTATTGCTATTGCTACATTTAGTTTGTATATTTTTTCACATGGCTGCCTACTTTTTTAAGTCCTTCCTATTCAATGAAGAAAGATCGGAGCTGTAAGGGACTGGGCTCGTGTTTGCAATTCCAAAACGCCTCTGCAAATTCTATCAGCCTCTTGAAATGGGGCAATAGGCTCTCTTGTTAAGTTCCAAAACAGAACATTATTCAGTTTCTGCATTTATAGAATGTTAGAAGAAGTAAACAGGTAAGAGTAGTCTCACAGTTTATAAGCCTAGTAGATTATCGAAAAAAGAGAGACCATTTTGTGGCCTTTCCCCCCACTAAAAGTGCAGAAATAGAAATTGTTGCCGTATCATTTCTGTGTAACTTAGATCCATGAAATGGCCCAGCCACTGACATTGTTTTGTATTAAACGCTTTGCCTTCTTTCTTTGTAACAGTGGAGCTGCAACTGGTGTTTACCTGGCTTGGATTCCAAGTGAAAAAGTATGACGACAAGACTTCTACAGAAATTAAAGAAATCTTGAGGTTTTGGCAGTCTTTCGGGAATTGGAAAGACAGTGACTGTCTGGTGTGCTGTATTCTATCTCATGGAAAATCTGGGGAAATTTTTGGGACAGATGAACGTCTGATTCCAATCCGTACCATCACATCATACTTCAAAGCCAACAACTGCCCATTGTTGGCTCAGAAACCCAAGCTCTTCTTCATCCAGGCCTGTCAAGGTGAAAAGATACAGCAACCAGTCTATCTCCAAGAAGACTCCGACTATGCTGTCTCATTTGAACCAGATGCACAAAGTTCAGGATATGTGTCTTCCCAACAGCTGACCTCAACTATTCCAGATGAAGCAGATTTCCTGCTTGGCATGGCCACTGTGGATGGATATCTCTCTTTCCGGCATGTACATGAAGGAACTTGGTACATTCAGGCTCTTTGCAGTAAATTGCAGCTCCTGGTGCCAAGGTAGGATTCACGTTACATGGAAGTCTTCTCTTTAATGTCACTGTTCTGAATGAACTACCAAGTATAGATTCGTAAGCTGTTAGGAGGCCACTTAGCCCATTCCAAATGGACTTTTCACACAATTTTCAACCATCGTTCCATAGGCTTTTCATGCACCAGCTCAAAATCCTGATAGCACAGGCTTGTCTTGAGTTAGTGATTTCCCTTCCATCCTAATCCTGTGAGGGAGAGTGAGCTGGGAGAATGTGACTAGTCCAAGAAACTACAGTAGCCCTCATCCTGTGTCTCCTGGTCTTCTCCAACATCTTAGCCACGACGCCATCCTGGCTCTGATTAATCTTCGTGCTGAATAGGCAGAGGGGAGATAAATGCATAAATGGTTAAATGCAGCACTGCAGGCTACTTCAGCTGACTGCAGTTCTGCAGTTCGGCTGTTCAAATCTCACCGGCTCAAGGTTGACTCAGC